TCTTCCTCCTATTCACTCCTCCCTCTTCTGTGTCCAAGCCTGCTTTTCTTATAATATGTTTTGCATACATGTTGAACAGGTAGGGTGATAGGATGCAGCCTTGTCTGACCATTTTGCCAATTGGGAACATTCTGTTTCTCCATGTTCTGTCCTGACAGTAGCCTCTTGTCCTGAGTACAGATTCCTCATCAGGACTATCAGATGTGTTGGCACTCCCATGTCTTTAAGGGCATTCCATAGCCTTTCCTGATCTATGCAGTCAAAGGCTTTGCCATAGACTATAAAGCACATGCTGATTTTCTTTTGGAATTCCCTGGTGCACTCCATTAGCCATCTTATATTTGCAATGTGGTCCCTAGTGCCTCTTCCTTTCCTGAGCTATGCTTGGACCTCTGGGATTTCTCTCTCCATGTATGGTTGGAGTCTATGTTGCAGAATTTTGAGAGTGATTTTGCTTGCATGGGAGATTAGTGCTTTGTTTCTATAGTTGCTGCAGTCTCTTGTGTCTCCTTTTTTGTGGATGGGGATGTATATTGATTGCTTTCAATCTGTTGGCCATTGTTTTGTTTTCTATATCTGTTGACATATGTTGGCTGGCACTAGAGTCGACTCTGTCAATGTGGATTGCAACAGTTCTATTGGAATATCATCTGTTCCTGGAATCTTGTTTTTTGTCATTTCTTTTATTGCAACTTCCACTTCAGTTTTTAGAATTTGGGGTTCATCTTTATATGTCTCTTCATTCCATGTGTCTTTCATCATGTTGTCATCTCTTTTATATAACTCTTTTGTGTATTTCATCCATCATCATTTTATTCCTTCCTGGTCTTGAATTATGTTATTTTTATTATTGTAGGGCATCCCGGTCCTTGGTTTGAACTTTCCCTTGACTTCTCGAATCTTGTGGAACAGGTATCTCATTCTTCTCTATTTGTTGCTGTCTATTTCCCTACATTTGTTGTTGTAGTAACTTTCCTTATGTTTGCACAATAGCCATTGTACTGTTGCATTCATGGTTCTTAGTTTATTCCTATCTCCTTTTTGTTTTGTTTCTCTTCTTTCCTTTATTGCTTTTAGCATTTTATCAGTTATCCATGGTTTCTTCACTTTCCTTTTCTCTGTTGGAAGTGTCTTTATGCATTCTTCTTTTATTATGTCTCTGGCTTGACCAAAGCTCTTCCAGTTCATGATATATTATTCTTAGTACTGCATATCTGTTCCTTATATTGTCAATGAATTCTGTGGAAATGTTGTTTAAATCGTATTTTCATATGACTAGTTTTGTTCTCTTCTTGAGTTTTACTTTTATTTTTGAAATGAGTAGCTCGTGATCTGTGCCACAATCAGCACCTGGTCTAGTCTTGGCCACCAATATGGAGCTTCGCCATCTTTTACTTCCAATTATGTAATCTATTTGGTTTTTGTGTTGGCCATCTGGTGATGTCCATGTGTATAACCTTTTCTCTGGTTGTATGAAAAATGTGTTTGCAATGAATAGGTTGTTGGCTCAACTGCTTCATTCCTTTTGCCTAGTCCAAATCTGCCTACTGTTTTTGATTCTTCTTTAATTCTAGCCTTTGCATTCCAATCTCCAATGATCAGCTTGACATCCTGTGTTGATGTGTTGTCAATTTCTTCCTGTACTCCTTCGTAAAATCTATTAAATTCTTCTTGTTTTGTCTCAGTGGTTGGTGCATATACTTGAATTATGGTGATATTCATAGGTTTCCTGTGGAGCCTTACTGAGATAATTTGTTCTGATTTTGCATTGTATCCTCTAACTCAGGGGTTGGCAACCTTTCCCCTTTAAGGGCAAAGGGACTTCAGCTCCCAGAATCCCAGGAGCTATTGGCCAACATGGGACTATTGGTCAACATGGCTGAGGCTTCTGGGAGCTGAATTCCCTCGGCCCTTAAAGGGGAAAGGTTGCCTACCCCAGCTCTAACTGCTTTTGCAACATCTTTTCTTAGTATGAAATCCATCCTGTTTCTTCTTTTCTTTTCATTCCCTGATAAGAAAATAGTATGGTTGTCTGATTCAAAGTGGCATATTCCTATCCATTTTAACTCACTCACCCACAGTACTGCTATGTTCATGCATTGCATTTCCATTTTCACTATGTCTAGCTTCCTTTGGCTCATGCTTCTCACATTCCATGTCCCTATTTTATGTGTGGTGCTGCTTCTGATGGGATTTGTTTAACTCAACAGAGAAGCTCCAATTCCAGGAAATTTTTGCAATGTCATACTTCTCTTACAATTATCCAAAGGGAAGATATGTCCCCTTTATTTAGAAAATGCTGCTTTCATGTGACTATATACAAATATTCCAGGCCACAATCCATGGACAAATGTAATCAGAGCTATCTTGAAAATAGCAAACAACTCCCAGTTGTGGTATGTTCTTACCGATATCGCCTAATCATTTCAGGTGATGGGATATATCCAGGAGACCCAGTTGGTCCAACAGGCTCAACATATAATTTTGCAGAGCATATGGCATTCCCTTTTACATTGCTGGCAAAGACAGTATAAATGCCTTCATCTTCAGGGAAGACCACAGGTAAACGCAGACTGGCTCTGCCATCTTCGAGAACCTCCATGTGGTAGTGGTCTCCATGTCTGATGCGCTTGCCATCTTTGTACCATGCAATCTGTATTAGTTTAAAAAAGAGAAAGAAAAGCAAAACAGTGTGAATGGTGAGACTGAGGAAGTTCTAAGTTATCACATGTCTAATTCCTGCTCCATATTTTGTTGGTGTTGCTCACACTCATTTAGGGCCTTTGCAGACTGCCAGAAATAGTGCACATTAAATTGAGGCACTGCCCTGGCTCAGTGCTAGGGAGTCATGGGAAATATAGTTTTTTCTGAGACATTGAGCCTTCTCTGTCATAGAGCTCTGGTGCCACAATAAATTACAGTTCCCATGATTCCCTAGCACTGAGCCAGGGCAGTGCCTCAATTTAATGTGCACTGTTTCTGACAGTCTGCAAAGGCTCTTAGCTGCTTTGTTAATATGAAAATGTGCATGATAGAGTTTCCATATTTTGAAAAGCCAAAGCGCAGACACATTTACTGACATAGTAGTGTCATTAGGGAGGTGCTGAAGGTGTGGACTGTACCAGTGACACCCCAGAAGAAGAGTGACACCTGGCCAGGCCTTCCTTCTGCTGTACCCCTCCCAGCTTTGCTGGAGCGGTGGAGGCCTCCTCATGAAGAGACCTCCACTATCGTGGTGAAGGAGAGGGCCAAAGGTGCCTCTTCTGACTTTGCTGTGGTGATGGAGGTGAGAACTGAATGCACACTTTTGGCCACCTCTGCTCCCCGGCAGCCCCCCCACACACTAGGTGACACCAGAGGTGGGGATGCCACTGTACCAGCAGACTACTTAAAACCATTGATTGCTATGACAGCTCTAACTTTAAATACATTTAATAATAATAATAATAATAATAATAATATGGTTTATTTATATACCGCCCCTCTGGCTAGCAGAGCAGAAATTTTATGCAGAAATTTTAGTTCTGAAAAATCATCTGGAAAAACGAGGACATTTAAATTCACAAACTCCAGTTTGTGACTTTGTTATTTATGGTTCCTACTTTATTTACAAGACACTTTTTTAAAAATACAAAATATAGGCTACACACCAAAACACCAAAAATGTAATCCATGAACTAAAAATTACAGCCATTTTTATCTGTCCATGTCATTTAATGACAAAATTCCGTTATATTTTGAAAACAGGTTTTGCAAAGATTAATTCCAGCTGCATCTGCACTGCAGAAATAATTCAATTTGATACTACTTTTACAGCCGTGGCTCAATGTAACGGAATTCTGAGAAATGTAGTTTGCTGTGGCACCAGAGCTCTCTGACAGCGAAGGCTAAATGACTCACAAAACTACAATTCCCAGAATTCCATAGCAATGAGCTATCACAGTAAAAGTGGTATCAAACTGGATTATTTCAGCAGTTCAGCGGATGCAGAGTAAGTGACTCTTTAACATAAACATAATTTAAAATATAATTTTAAAATATACAAAATATTTAAAATATATAATAATATATATATTTAATATAATTTATAGTATAATAAAGATAAAATTAATTTTAAACATTTTTATTATCATTATTTTATTCACTTATCCTGCCTTTTTCCCACTCCATAAGCCAGTCAGGATACAAACAGAATCCTGTTTGTGCAACTGTAAAGTTTACACATCTGCTTACCTTAGGCAATGGATAGCCAGTCATCTTGCAGTGGAAAGTCACACCGCTTCCCTCAAGGATTCTGTAATTCTTTAACCTCAGTTCAAATCCTGCTTCAACTGTTTCAGATTCAGATACATCAACCACCATCTCTTCTCCATCTTCTTCAAGCAGTTCCTCAAGAGATATCTTAATAATTCTGTATTCAATTTCTTTGATAAGTCTTTCCTCAAAGGAAGAAATGTGGAATTCCTATTTCAAAAAAGTAGAGTTTTTTTAATTTTTTTTTTAAAGATTTGGTTATGTTCCTTTGACAAGACAGCCAGTTAAAAAAAAAAAAAAAGAAGGAATGATAAAAATGATAGCAAAGTGCCTTGTTTGAAATTTAAAACCATTACTTTCAACACTTACCTGTTCTTCGGTAAAAGTCCTGACTAGCACAGTATCCTTTGCCATTTTCTTCCTAATTAATGCTTGTTCTCTTTCATATTCTTTTTCATAGTCAGCATACAATGTTGGTGGGGCTACCGCAGCCACTTTAGGTTCTTGTACATATGCGGTCACTTGAGTTTGATATATTGTTTCTTGTTGGGATTTTAGGTAGACCTCATAATCAGCTACAGAAGTAAGTAAATAAATAAATAAACAAACCAAACAAACCACTTCTAGCAAACTGCTCTACTGGTGCACCTTTAATCTGTAAAATGTTTCAATGTGTTTACAATGGTTTTTAAATTAATGATATAATGGGATCCTTGTTTAATGCTTTAATAATATTCTCACTGCGAGTCAGCATGGTGTAGTGGTTTGAGTGTTGGGCTATGACTCTGGAGACAAGAGTTCAAATCCCTATTCTGCCATGAGAACCCACTGGGTGACCTTGGGCCAGTCACACACTCTCAGCCTCAGAGGAAGGAAAAGGCAAACACCCTCTGAACAAATCTTGCCAAGAAAATCTCACGATTGATTTTCTTTAGGGTGGCCATAACTCAGAAACTACTTGAAGGCATACAACAATTTTTATACTACAGATGGTTTAAATATTTTGTTTTAACATACAGCACAACCAGCTTTTGAGAGAAAATTGGGATACAAATTAAAGAAAGAGAAAGAGAGAACAGCCTCTAATTAAGATTATTCTAATTTGGTAGGGAAATATTTATGGATTTGATACTGTAAAACAGCTATTCCCAAACAATTTTTTGGGACTTGGGCGTGAATTGTGATGAGCCTAGAATGGAATCTGGTGTTGGAAACAATATGGGATCAGCTACACAAAAACTAAGAATAATGTCAAATTTCTAATGGTGTTATTAAAGCTGAGAGAGAGACTGAGATTGAGGGAGAGGGAGGGAGAGGTTGGGTATAACCAGTATCTAAGATTAATCAGCACTATCTTCTTTATTGTCAGAGACCCCAGGAATACTTATAAAATGGATTAACATTGGCAGTAGGCTGTTACTCATTTTGCTACTTGCAAGTACCTGCAGGAAGAAGGCAAATTACTTCTCTCATCTATTATCATTTAAATATCCTTACAAGCACAGCAGTGTCAACGGAGAAGTGCCCTCCCCGTGTTCAAGTGTAGCTTACTCCAAAGTAAGCAGGTATACAATAGATTTCAGGCAGCCTTTATTATTCCTGGAAACGGGGGTGGTACAGGTTCAACTTCAATTGCAGTCTCAATCTATCTTAGTAAAATTCTAATCATTTAGTACACTATTAAAGATTGATAATACTTGGGGAGGCTCAATTACATACAAGTCTTGGTAGTCCATTTTCCCATATGAATTCATGGATGCTCAGTCCCTACTTACTTAAGAGGGACTCAAGCCCCCCTGATCTTCCATTCAGGGGCCGGGTTCATTGTTAAATCTGTGTCAACCAGCATAATCATATTGAGCTATAGTTTTCAAAGCCCACTGTAAGAGGCTCTCTCTCTTTCCTTTCCATGTTAACCCAGACCGTAAAACTGTACCTTAATGATTTTGTCAAATCCTAAAAAGGAGAGTGCCTACTAGCCTTCCTTTGCTTACTTTGCTTTTAAAAAATCCTTTGTGACTTGTACACATACCTTCTTCTAGTAAGGAAGCTGATGCAGAAACTTCCCCATGTTTGTTACGTGCAACAATAGTGTATTCTCCAGCATCATCGGCAAAAGTCATTGAAATTTCAAGTTTGCATTCCCCAGTTTCTTTTTTATGAAGTACTTTGTACCTTTAAGAAAATGAGAAAAAAAAAAAAGAAATCTTGTAAGAATGAAGAATCAGAAGGGCATAAATGACTGAATGAATTACAAAGACATGACTTTCAAACATCAACATTCAACTCAGGCAAAGATGTTAAAAATCTAACAAAGATGTTAACAAAGATTTTTAAAATTTGTTAACTATGTGTTTATTGTGTTTTATGTATGAACTTGATTTTAATTCTACGGTAGTTTAATTTAGTTTTAAGGGGTGGGAAGGTTAGGGTGTGAGATGATGGAATGTTTTAATTGTTGTGTTTTTTTTAATTTGTTGTATGCCGCCCCAATTGCAGAGCAGAGGGGCGGGTTATAAATAAATTATTATTATTATTATTATTATTATTATTATTATTATTATTATTATGAAACTTTACAGACTGCCAGAAATAATCTAGCTTGAGACCACTTTAACTGCCCTGGCTCAGTGCTAGGGAATCATGGGAACTGTATTTTTTCTGGGACATTGAGCCTTCTCTATCAGAGAGCTCTGGTGCCACAATAAACTACAGTTCCCATGATTCCCTAGCACTGAGCCAGGACAGTTAAAGTGGCCTCAAACTGCATTATTTCTGGCCATCAGTAAAGGCCCATCCTTGCCTGATGAAGAAGCCAGTAGAGCTTCAAAAGCTTGCAACATGTATTTTGTGCATTTTGGATGGCCCAATAAAGGTATTTTCATTTTGTAGATTTTGGATGTTATTGTACTTTGCTACATGGCCAACATGGCTACCCCTAGAAATATTCAACTGTTCAGGAAAAGCATGTAGTGCTCAGCAGTGGGGCTGCCAGGTAGGAAGGGGTACCTGGCTGCTTCAGAAGCATGAATTTCAGGAAGCACATGGCAGAAATGGATACCTGAAAGCTGCAGCAAGACTTGGCTTGTTATGGTGTGGAAAGGAAGAGGTGCCATTGGATGCTCCACTTTGGGCTGCAATATGTTTGAAGTTGGTACTGACAGTGTTTCAACTATTGTAGCCCTCAGAATGCACGTTAGGGTTCATTCACTTGAAAGTCACTTCCTGAACTTCAACCTGACCCCATACCTGTTCAATATGAAGCATGCCTGTCCATATGCAAGAGGCTAAAATGGCCCCCTCTTTGTTGTTTTTCTGTCAAAAGGGAAGACTTTTTTTTTTTATTCAAACAGTGGTGATTTGAGAGAAAAGCACTATAAGAGTTTTAAAATGTACTGTTTAACAATTCGGACAAAAATAATCTTTTGAAAAAGGCATATGTTTAAAGTGGTAAATAATTTAATTTGGTTTTAATGTTGACTTTTTTGTACGTTTTTAATTGAGATGTTTTTAAATTGTAAGCCTGCTTGAGTCCTAGTCTTGGAGAAAAGACAAGATACAAATAAAGATAATAATGCTGATAAAGATAATGTTTTCAATATGTGAGAGCATTTAAATATAGGATCCCTCACCCTGCATTCTGAAATGACTAAAGCACATACTTTTTTTTGCTGAACTTCTGAACAGGTCTGAGACAATGAGCTTACATTGTTATACTACTTATGAACTAATTTTATTCTCTGGTTTCATGTATGATCTTTTATATCTTGCACCACTTGAGGTGTAATACATAGCAAATGAAATATTTCACATGTGAAATTCTCATGTCACTAAGGCGTTACATATTTGTGTGTGCATGCCTTCGAGTTGCCTGTTGACTTATGGTAGCCTCATGAATTTCTTAGGGTTTTTTAGGCAAGAGCCTCAGAAGTGGTTTTGTCAGTTCCTTCCTCTCAAATATAGCCTACAGCATCTGGTAGTCATTGGCAGTCTCCCATCCAAGAACTAACCAGGGCTGACCTTGCTTAGCTTCCATGATCAGATGGGATCTGTTGCTTTAGGGTATTTAGACATTTAGATGTTACATACTATTTAAAAAAAAGAAAATATTGTACCTATAGCCTGTGGTAAGAGGAAGCCCAGCTTTCTTCCAGTAAACATGTGGCTTTGGGTTGCCCCCAACCTGACACTCAAAAATAACACTTCCGCCTTCAATTAGCTTCTGTACGATAGGTTTTCTTATGAAGAATGGTGCCACTGGCTCTGCAGACACATCTTCTGCAGTTGCAGCGATCTCAGCCATCACAACATCTTTGGATTCCACATAGCTAGAAGAACAATTACAAGAAATGTAGTACTCGATTTGGCAAAAAAATATGGAAACAGGAATTATAATTCTAGCAATAAAACCTACCGTTTTTCTTCTGTGACCACTTTTGTAGAAACAGCATCTTTACTTTCAAACTCTTCTGAAACTGTTAAAAAAAAAAAAAGAACCACAGTAAGAACAAAATCATATTACAACTAGAGGTATGTCTAGCTCTTCATATCCATATTAGCATCAGGCAAAGGGTTAAAGCCTCCATACTGGTAAAACTAGGTGTTTTCAGATCAGATTATGTGCTTGCTTCAATATCAAAGCACTAGTAGCTATGTCTTTAATATACAATTTAGCCTGAATTGGGTTGAGGCTGAATTGAAATGAAACTTGACCACTACAAGATCATTGATCAAACCTAACCCATTATAGTTGTTCTTATTTTTAATCCAGCTTTTAGAACATGCAGCTGCATTTTCTGTCTGATGTGATGGTCCCGATAGATTGAACTTGTGTGGACAATTTGACTTTGGCACTTTATCTTACTGATTTCTATGTAGAACAGGGAGGGACTGCTTTGATTAAGGATCAGGTTGTGGGTGCTTAATGATGATCTGGGCATAACTATTTAACCTTTTTGTATTATTTTTGTGACTCAAAGGAATTATTAGGTCACCAAATGGCAAGTGTTGGATTCTAGTGTATTTAAATATATAACCATGACTGCAATAATAGAACAAACATTTGTTATTATTTTTTAAACTAATCAGCAGTATCATTATAGGGATAAGTGATTTTTAGGGTGAAAGACTTCTGTCTGTTGACCCAGGTCATGGGAACATGCATTCTTATATCAGACTACAACTTCCATAAACTTAAACCAATGGTGACAAAGTGGTTGTTTCCTATTGCTGGTCTCCCACTACTCATGTAGAATGAATTAAATAAGATCTGGATCTTGTCTCCTTCTAGCTAGTTACTACTACAAAATGATTTCAGAATAAGATACCACAACAGTTGCTGTATGTGCTGTAGGAGACAGAGGGCCTCTACAGATGGGCGGCCATGGGCCGACCCAGGAAGTCGAGGACTGGGGCTGAGGCTGCCTCACTCCTCAGCCCCAATCCACTTTTTGGGCAGCCCTGGAAGGAGTGCTAAAATAGTGCTTCTTCCTCAAGCCGTGGAAAGGGCGCCGGAAGAGGCGGCACACGCCTCTTCTGCATCTCTTCTTTCACAGCGTGTCTGGACTCTGTGACGGAAGGACGTCATTGGAGCACTCGCCATGTGCAACAGTGGGTGCTCCAATGACGTCCACAGGAAGGGGTAGGGCGCCCGGCGCCCGGCTGCCCCTCCTCTTCCTTGACTCGAAGACAGTGCTTTGTGCCGTCTGCAAAGCCCCAGAGACAGTAAATAGACCATTTGATCTGGGCTTCCCAAGTTTAGGATCTTGTTGACAGATCTTCAAAAAGTCCATGAGGAAAATATCCCAATAGCTCTTGT